GCAGCCCAAGGATCTTGCACCTTCCGGTGACTGAATTAAATATCATCCCTCTACATCCACGTCTTCTTAAAATCAATGTGTGGGTGTCTTTTTGGATGTTAAGTTTGGAAAACTTGCACAACTATTACAATAATCCTAAACACTGCAGCAAATATATAATATGGGGGAAAAGAGGAGGAGAACCAAAGTGTTAATGGACCAAAAAAATGTCAGACCTCAACTTGACATAGTCCAAAACTTGTTTAAAAGGTTGAAAAAGTTAATAATTATAAAAAAAAAATTCTCATTGCAACTTAATGATTTCCAAAGTAAATGGCCTCAGCTTTCAATTAATCATTTAGGGAAGGGCCACTGTGCAATGCCAAAGGAGGATTCTGGGGCTAAGGGTTGTGCTCATGAACCCAGGGTCCAAGTTCCAAAAAAGTTAAAAAAAAATCTACTGGACTTTGTTTTCAAGTTTGAAGACGTTTTGCTTCCAATCCAGGAAGCCTTTTCAATTCAAAATGTCAGAATTAGCACTGAGTTTAAAGCTTTATATTGTCCAAGTCTGTGAGATTTGAACCACAGAACTTGAGGCCTTAAAAAAACGCAAGTGCCTTGCTTAAACCAGCTCTTATTTTTTTTTAACCTGGTTCTTCTGACAGTCATGAAAATTATCTGGCTCCAATCATAGAATGTTTAAATGAAGTTTCTATTCTTCTTAACAGCATTTGGAACTCAGATCCTGTTTGAGATTAAATTAAAAAAAAAAATACTAGCTAAAACAAACCTCAATGGCTCCTTAAGTAAAAATAAGGTAGGGATTTGAAGCGGATAAAGGGTGAATGGAGCTGCAATGCTATCAACTTTCACAGATTCTGTAAATGTGAGCATGGGTCCTGAAAGGCTACTTCATTTAAATCAAGGTCATAGGTCGTCATGAAAGAGCTCTACTGTATTTTACTATACTCAGCTGAACACTATCAGGGTTCAGATCTACTTCAATTCACAGGCCCTCATTCAAAGACAGACTCAAGCTGGAAATTCCTCAGAGAAAGCAGAGAATCTCCAGACAACAAAGCAGTGTTCATGCGTTTATTTTTATGTACATCAAAAATATACACTGCTCACAAAAAATAAAGTGAACCCTAAAATAGCACAGCCTAGATCTGAGAAGATTGAAATGTTTTCACTGAATACTTTATTCTGTACAAAGTTTTATGTGGTAACAAAATTACACAAAAATAATTAATGGAAAGCAAATGTATTAACCAATGGAGGGATTTGTAAAAAAAAAACACTACAGGCTGAACTAATTATGATAATGTCCTTAGAACCGGTCATCCAGGGGTGAGCAATGCAATACATGTACAGAGGCTTTGGTCCTCAAGGTGGTCATCACAGGTTCAATACCTGGCCCGGTGACCTCTGCCTCATTTCTTCCCCCCTTTTCTACTCCCATTTCCTGTTAACCTACTTACAGAATGCTTCACATAGTTAAGACACACATTAGATAAAAATTACATATAACTGTTATCGTTTCATTGAATATAAAACATTAAGCCATGATTAATCCTTTCAAAATTGTACCCCCTTTAAATGTGATAATCCGATTATAATTTGACACTTACACGTTGGAGAGCTGCATCAACTATAGCTGAAGTTGACTTGTTACTGTTTGACCAAATTTCCTCGTAAAATGTATTTAAGTATTTTTAAGTTGTGAGGGCATTTGGTTTCCACTACCCTCTTCAGGTGACCTGAAAGGCCTGTTAGATTTAGTTGTGAACACAAATGAACCCTAACTACATTCTAAGTTTCCTCTTCAGAAGTCATGTTGCTGTTAACTCCAATATATGATTGGATACCCATTGGTTCTGTGGCAATAATTCTCACTTATTTTCAGCTTCAAGTAGACACCTGAAGCTTTTTGGTCTAAACTAAAAGTTTGTTATTCAGTCTAACTCCACAGAAAGTTCAGTACCCACTGAAGAAAGTAACAGCAGAGGAGGATTCTGCCACTGGTTCACAGAGAGGATGTCAAAGTTCAAGCCTGGGTTCAACAAGCCACAATATATGCAACAGAGGAGATCTTTATATCCAGAATTAGATGTTTTTGCTTTTCTGTTTTTTTGTTAAGAAAGAAAATACTCTTACATGCTCAGCATTAGCTGCTTCATGTTTTCAGGAATCATTGGTATGCTATGTTATATAATGGCAGTGCAATATTACACTTTGACTTAGACAACTTTTATTGTCATTTTATATACACAGAGTGTATACAAAACATGCACAGTGGGATGAAATGTCTATGTGGAGGGAAGAGGAGCCCAGATGGGAAGTATGCGAAAAACATTACGTAATACTGTTGGTAAACATGTGGGACATTATATATATAATATAATATAAACTCTTTTGTCTTAGCAATGAGACCAATAAGCTATCGTTTCTCAAACACTTAAATATTTACCATTACTCTACCCTCTAAAACAATGAATGCTGCATTAAAAGAAAGCAGTCTGACACAACATGGACATTGTTTGCCCTGATATTACTAAAACTGTGTTTCAAAAGTTTTAGATCAAAAGTTTGCAACTCACACGACCAAGTTATGATAGCTTTTCTTTTTTTTTAGGACATTTGTATTATCAAACCTATGGATGACTTATTCATTATATAGATCACATTTTAAGGAAAAGTCCGGTCAGCAAGGAATAATCAATAGACCATTATCTATACCTAAAACTAATATGTTTGCGTGATTTAATTAATTAAGCGTTAATTAATAAAAAAAATAAAATAATATTTTTTGTCACGATCACTGAGTCTGGGAGTGGCCATTTTTGCCCAAATATAGTAACATCTCCTAAATTTTCCGGCAGTGACATCAGGGTGCGGTAAGCCTAGAGCCATTCTCCTCGCTTTACAACAAAAATCAATGGGAACCATTATACATACCTGCAATCAACAACAATTATTTTTAGATTTCGAGAGGTCTTCACCATTGAAATTCATGAGCGCTTTAGTTAAACTGATAATGCCCACATGCATGGAAGTTGGATGTTGTAATACATCAGGTAAAAGTGAAAAAAAATTGTTATTTTACCTTAAAGCTGCAGTCTGTAACACTGAGAAGAGAGCAGACTTCGACTGAAAATTTGAAGAAAAACAGGTTTCACGCCACTCCCCCATCCTCTCTGCTTCACTCATGCCCCACCTCCAAGCTCTAACCCTCTCACAGCATCTGCGCGGCTACCGCATGCGACCAGAAGCGTCCAAGCAGCGTACGTGGCATGGAGTGTGAACCGGTAAGAGCGATAACACTCACCTCCAAGCAGCTAGATATAAGATGCTGGTTATACCGAAGTTTGCCATGTAAGCAGTTGTCGGCAGGGGCAGTAAGGGCAGTTTCTCTTTCGCTGGTGGCTGTCGCTCCGCCATGAGTTCCACGCGCGTCGTCCTGACTGCGGCAGCTGGGCGGCAGCGGCTGGTTAAGCGGTGATGTGGGGGGGCGGGCGACAATCAGCGTGTGTGAGCTGTGATTGACACTCCATCAGACGCTCCTCTGGCTGTGATTGGTTGTTTTGACTCGGCCCGAATTATTCTTTCCAGATTGCAATACAGGCAGTAGGCGGGACCAATTGAAGCAATTTTTTTCACAGGTTACATATCACATGTACTGCTGTCTGGGCATAGGGACAGTTTTAGCCAATATGACAAAAAAGTGATTTTTAAAAACTTACAGACTTCAGCTTTAATGAGTCCTGATCCACCAATGGTTCGTTGTTGGATTGTCAATTTGAAGAGGTAGGATTTGCCATTGAACTTCTAGCCAGAGAAAAAACTAATATGTAGCCAACATTTTGAAGAAGAATGGTTTTAAGATGACTTGGATAATAGCGTCTAGTGAAAAGCACCAGATACAGCATTTGGACTTGCTAAGCAGCCGATACGCACTGTAATAAAATGAAAATTACTCTTAATTAAAAACACTTATCATCTATTGGACAATATATAATCATTTAATATTTAAAGTACTTTCAGAAGTTTGCATGCTGAATATGACCGGACTTTTCCTTTGATATATAAAAAAGAAATAATTAGTTGGAGTCTCCTTTTTTTTAGATTAAAATCTAGATATTCCAACCTTGATGTGTGTGGACATTATTATATTCACTGGAGCTTAACACAAAACAAATCCTAAAATCTTATTTTTATACCCAGTCAAAAAAAGTTTTCTTAACCAAAGGTTATCACATGTTTGACAATTTTTGCTAAAAATAACAAGCGTAGTAAACTAGATTAACCGGCCAGCGGCCAAAATCATTTTTGCCTGCGAGTGGTCTAGCTTCGATCAATACCCCAGGCCCTAGAAATGTGTTTTGAATTTTTGGATGCAAAGCAGGTGGGGTTTTGAGGGCGGGACGACAAAGCTGCGTGACGCTGGAGAAAGCACAACAAGGAAGATGGCAACAACTATTGAAAAGTTGACGTTTGACTCAGCTTTGGAATCAGGTTTGGAAGGATTAGACTTGGTTTTCGTTGAAACATGACCAGGAAGAGGCTCTATGCTCATTAATTTTTAAGAAGGACATATTCACCATTTTGCCAACAGGCTGTTTGTTTATACTCCCCCACCAACTTTCTGTCGCACTTACCACATCAAAGTCAGTTAAGCTCATTGGTCAGAGCATTGGCCAATAGGCACAGACAGCGGTTTATAAACAATGGGCTGTTCTCATCAACAATCTTCCAATGTCTCATTCATCGGGGGCCAGACTAAATTACACATTTAATCTCAGATTTATTCTGGTTTATCAAGCTAAAAGATAAAAACTTCATATTTGAGATTATATTAAAGAAGAAAGAAAGGTAGGCTTGGACCTATGTATTCAGGTACTGTGATGAAGATGAATAAAACATCAACCTGAAGCATGAGAAAGTAAACAGGAAGGTGCAGAGGTTGTTTTGAGTTTAAATTGACAGGCTGTTATTTTAAATGTTAAATAGAAAAAACTTACCAGGCCAGCTATTGGTGTTTGCAGTCGGTTAATTTTCTTTACCAAGCCAGGTCTAATGGAGCTCAGTAACCTGATAAGAAAGAAAGAAATAGAGTTGACAGGAGTCAAAGAATGAACCTTTTTATGTGAATTTAGAGAAAAGAGAAGTCCAGTCGTAAAACATTGACTGGTACCAAGTTGTGACCGAAGTCCCTTACATGACCAAAACAAACAATATAAAAGTACAACCTAAAGAAAGAATATAAGACAAATATTCTCAAGGTCTTGCGGAGATCTCTTTAAGATTGATAAGGACCCTAAATTAGAAAAAAGGTCTACTCTCAACTTTTTAATTTATTAGATAAAATTTCTTCTAAAAATTTTAACTCAATATGTTTATGAAAAGTTAAAAGTTCCTTGGTGGAAACATTTTTATCTGTGAATAAAAACCTTGTCTGGCTTTGACAATGAAGAAACACTAACATCTAAAGCTGGGCCTACTCTGTACAATATTTTCATTTGTTGTACTCAGCTACAGCTCAAACTGTACAACGAAATCATGTGGTTTTGTTGTACAATGGAAAAGTTCACAGCTCACTATGTATGTTCTTACACTGTATGGCCTGATCTACCTGCTCACAATGCATGCCCAAAACCACGTCGGACTCAGTGCCAAGAGATGGCGCTGTTAGGAATCTTCAAGCTGGAAGAAGAAGAATTCCCTTGTTTGCACATGTGGAGTGTGGGAGGTTCTGGTAAATCGGCTCTTAGATGCTCGTAGCTCTGCTTCAACAGCAGGATTTACCCACAAACCCCTTTTGACTGAATTTCCAACATGAATGATTTTCTCCCGACCAGTGGCGGATCTAGGGGGCGGCTACTTGGGCTGCAGCCCCGGATGTTTCCCCCAGAGCCCCGGATCTCGCTTCTGAGCTGATCTGAGTAAAATGTGCAGTACTGGAATTCACCAGATGGTGGCAGCATGCACAGCAAAGCAGCCTGTAGCATTCCCGTGCAGAAGAAGAAGTTCTCATCAATGGCTGTTGCTAAACAGACTGATGTTCCAGGGATGTGAAGCTCTGAGTGACTTCCAGACGTTGTATGTCCTGGTGTTCTATGGAATTCTGTTCCCCTTGTGTCGGGAGCGCATTGAAGCCAGAGAGGCGGACATGGCGGATGGAACCATTTTCACGACGGGTCTGATCAATTTCTCGCTAAAATCAGCTATAATTATGTCACGGTTGTAACATCCAGTTTAATCAGCAGCTGTTGTTTACAAAATTGTAAAATAAATAAATAGACGAGGTCATTTTAAGCTATTTTGTGTTATTTTAAACGCCAAGAAAATTGTCTTTTTCCAGCTTCTGTCACTTAAACCTGACAGAAATAAAAGTCAGTCACCAAACAAGTAGTATTTATCATTTTTCATTGCTGATATCAGAGGACGGAAACCTGCTGATAGCAGGACACAAATATTAAGAGCTCCTGAAAAGATGAGAGTTTAGACTTTCTGATTTATCCCCTTCTAATGTAAAATATGACAGATTACTGGATTAAGGACATTCCTAGTATACTACATGATGTCACACAAACAATTTTTGAGAAACTGGAAACAGATGCTTTTTACTTCCCAAAGATATGGGAGGAGGAGAGACTTGATGTTTCAGCTGCCTGAAATAATCTGTTCCTCCTCCATAACATGGAAGAAATTAATTTACCTGCAGGACTTTAACTGTGTTTATTCATTTATTCATATTCCTCTGGATTTGGTGACATTTGATAATTATTTGCCAAAGTTATGAGAGGGGAATTGTATATTTTAGCCACATGATATAATCAGTCCCCCCTTTGATGATCTTTATGAAATATGTTTTCTGTTTAAATGTTTATCTAACAATTCACATATATTCCCAAAAAAAGTTCAAACCAAAACCACTGGACATTGTTTTCCAAGTTTGAAGATGTTTCTCAATTCAAAATGTCTGGAGCAATGCTACTGCAGACATTTGGAATTAAGAATTAAAATACATTAAATAAAGATAATCAAACCAACAACTATTTTGGATTTTAAAATATAAAATAATAAATGTTTTAAACATAATATATGAAAAATAATGACAGTTTCAAAGGATTTGTTTATTTTTTTCCCGTGTTATGGGGAAACAGATTATATCAGGCGGCTAAAATATATTATTTCCCTCTGATAACTTTGGCAAATAATGATCAAATGCGACCAAATCCACAGAGTTAGTTGTTGATGAAGAGAGGAATAAACACAGTTAAAGACTTGCAGGTGAATTCATTTCTTCCCATGTAATGGAAGGGGAATTGTTATGTGTGATAGCATGTAGTATAGTAGAAATTTCTTTAATCCAGTAATCTGTCATATTTTACATTAGAACGGGATTTAGAAGAAAGTCTACTCTCTCATCTTCTCTCATCTGGAGGAGAAGAACACTCATGTGCAGATGTTGTTCCTGGACTTCAGTTCAGCTTTCAACACCATCATCCCACAGCATCGGATAGGAAAACTGGAACTGCTGGGCTTCAATACACCCCTCTGCAATTTGCTGTTAGACTTCCTCACAAACAGACCTCAGTCAGTCCGGGTCAGACTGACCCGGAAAAAAAATCCAGTACTGGCGCCACCATTTTGTAGTTTTCACTATAATGCGAGTCAAAAAACGACACGACCCAAAAGCCAACAGTGCTTCTGCTCTGAGTTTTTCACCCGCGCTCAAAAACAACAATGGAGGGACCAACAGTTACTGGTGAACTCGACTTCGAAATGTTTGATTTGCAACGCAAGCTGAATGGGAGTGGTGCAGGAGTGGGAATCATTCTGAATGGGAGCGGGATAGGAGTGGGAGTAATTTCACCAGGAGTGGGACGGGACAGGATTTAGATTTCTACTCTGGCCCAGGATCGGGATGGGACAAAAAATTTTTCTGTGGGAGTGGGACAGGACAGGAGTGAAAATCCACTACCGTGTCAGTCTCTAATGTCTACCCATTCATTTAATATTGTTGCTTCTTCCTGAAGGGTTGCAAGTGGTGAAGCCCTTCGGGGCCCGGTGTCAGTGTCCAATAGTCATCGGCCCAGAGTTAGGTCAGACCCTTGACAGGTAACAAGTCATCACTGGTGTAACACAAACACACATAAAAGAAAAAATAAAGGACACAAAATCATGCCTAAGCACAATTTGAGAAGAGCAATTTGCATAACGGTCATGTTTTAAACTGTGGAAAGAAGACAGAGTTAGTCTGTCAGGTTATGAACTATTTTGTTATCAAAGTATATTTTGTACCTCAGTAACCCACATTCATATAAAGGCTTATCTATTTCTTTTGTCATTTCTCATCACACACAGGAAAGCAATCTTTCTCTAGGGAAACTACTGTACATTCCTACAAAACATGTATAAAGACAGAGCTTTACAGTCCTCTGCTTTTCCTTTCTGTCTCTCTGCCTCATATTTCATCTTTTGTGTCTGTTTTCATCACAGGAAGCATTGTATAATGACTCTACCCTGAGGGATTAAGTATCAGCAGTCCTGTGATGCCGACCACATTCCAGCAGTCAATATGAGATGAAATGCCATAATTTACCTTTTTAGTAACCTTGATTTCCTAAAGTCCAACTCATCAACTCCAAGAGATTTCATACTCGTTTGGTCACTTTCAAAAATACCTTTAAAGAAGCTGCATGAGGAGGAAAATTCTATTCTTCATGAATGTGGTGTAGGTGTTTGTATGGGTTACCTTTCTGATAATATTAACAAGTTCTACTCTATAATTTACTGTTTGGGATAAAAATGCTCCTCATTTTTCAAGTGTTTGTTACTTTAATACCTGAATAAAAAAGCAATTAAATACAACAAAATTATAAGCAATTGTTGAGGACTTTGTTAAGAAAATCCTTTGCACCGGAAAAACTATCTAGAAATAAGTAAAAATTTCTTAAATTAGGTGTATTTACACAGTTAGTTTTAACATTTTTCTGAAGAAGACATTTTCACAGCTTCAAATGGAATGATCCAAAGAAATACTTCTTTTAAGTCAGGAAAACAGAGAAAATGCTGGAGAGTGTTTTGGTTGTTAAATAGTATACTTTTCTAGTAAGACCAATCACAAAAGTTTCAGTGCTATCCCCTGCAGCAATTAACAGAATTACACTCTGAAAGGGTTGGAAACTGAGTGTATTTCAAAAGTTCAGCAACAGAAATGTAAAATTGTGAAGGGTTGGAGGAATCTTTGATATCCAGTTCACGGGTAAACTAACTGCATTTAGTTTATCCCTGAACTGGATATTAAAGATTACACACTGAATATATATGATAAATAAATTTACCTTACAAAAGGTTTTTTTTTAATTTTATTTACTGGTACATCTGTGGTTAGGAACTATTTTGAGACAAAACTGAAAGCAGGTCAGTAAGACTTTTAAACAACTTTGTTAATCTCCAGGAGTTAGCAAAACACATTGTTCCTTGAGGTGAGAATGCAGATAACTGTTCTCCTGTGTCTTAAGTCAAGACTTCAGGTTTTATTGCTGTGAAGCCTTAGAAATACTCAGAAGGCTGGGGCCAAAAACCAGAAAAACTGAGGTATTGGTCAATTAAGAACCAAAGTCTCATCCAGACCATTTGTCTTCACTCTGACTCTTACACAGATATCAGCATTTCCATCATTAAGATACCAGGGGTGCATTCCTTTTAAAGAAACTTGCATTAACAATGATGTTACAAACTAAACAAATCGACCACTAGCCATGGGAGGCTAAAGGGGCTTTCAGACTGCTATCACTGCTGCTCTCTTAAACCTGTTATTTTCAGTTGCTTTCCCTGTGTAAGGCCCTGCTTTTTGAATGTGCTTGCCAACATGATCAAAGTTTAACATAGTCTAACTTTGACTGCACTACAGAGTGACAAATGCACACATGGCAAATAGAAACCAAGCAAACCAGCCACAAGCCAGAAAGCCCAAGGTAAAAAATGAAGGAAAAAACAAATTCTCTGCAAAGTCTTAAATGACCCAAGTTTGCAATCGTAGTAGCCATGCTCTTCCACACACCCAAATTCCTCAATCTGTTCTCTCCTTGCTGCTCTTTGTCCTTTAACTACCATATTTTCACGACTATAAGGCGCATATAAACGTCTTTTTTTTCCCTCAAAATGTGTGGCGCACCCTATAGTGCGGTGCGCCCTATAGTGCGGTGCGCCCTATGTGTGTTGTTACTGCGGACGTTGTTGAGACCACCATGAGAACGTTAAAGGGGGAAGTGTGGGCGTGGATTGTGTATAAAAGAACATCTTCTCATTGAGGAGATGATAAAAGAGTGGCTGAGGGAGGTGTATGAAAGGAGACCAGGTGGTTTTTTCCACGCATCACCATCGCTGTTAATCTGACTCCATGCGTGCCCATCTCACAGCTGATGTGAAAAACAAGGTGAAACAAATGAACGCTTTGCTTGCTGTTATTGTCTGGTCTGACAAAGGAAATTCAACCGCTCGACATCGGTGTGAACCGGCCATTCAAAGTAATGCTACGTTCACGCATCTGCTGCTTCATTTTTGCTGCTTGTACCAGTTAGTTCTGACGCGCAGCTGAAGCAGCTTTGCTGCTCTGCCTGCGCGGTGCAAAAGTGTGTCTGACGCGCATTGGGTGGAGCTACTCTATCCTTTCTTTGCCTTGCAGCTATATTTGCTGTGATCATTGGGAATAAAGTAGTTTTAATAAGTTTTTAAGTGAGAAAGTCCACCTGAAAACTTAATCATTGCAGTTAGTATATCCAGATTATGATCCTGCCTTCTAATATTAGTTCTCTCGGAGCAGCTCAGACCCCCACATACCAGCGGCAGCCTCTGGCCGGGTCGCCTCCTCGCGGTTCACCCCAGCAGCTGGTAGGTGTTTTTCATCTAAATAATCTAAACTGCAGGCACCAGGATAATAAAAGCGAACATATTCTGCCGGCAGATTTCTGCATTTTAAGTTAATTTATGCATCAATAAACTGTTTCAGAGGAGTGATCACAGCGCTCTGTGTCATCAGCGATGTGTCTGTCTCAAGGCCAGCTCCCAGGTTTGATTAATACTTTGTAATAAATACATGAATAAAGCCCAATCATACTCAGTTTTGCTCCCGCTCTATTTTTAAATATGCAGTAGATGTATTTAAACGTAGTAGAGGACATGTACCTGTATATAAAACCCGCGCCCTATAGTCCGGTGCGCCTTATGTGTGTGTTAAATACAGAAATGGCACACATAACTGAGACTGCACCTTTTAGTACGGTGCGCCTTATGGTCTTGAAAACACGGTAGCATGGCTAGTGCTAGTACTTTACTGACAACAGAAAAATAACCGCCCAACGACTTACCATAGTGTTGACCAATCAGCACAGATCAGTGCAAAGGCGCTTGTTTATGCAAGCACATCACAAACAGTGTCCCGTTTCATAGAGCCATTAGATTATGCCTTTTAGTAAAATGAAGGTGCAGCTTTATACAAAATGTGCTCTAACCAAGATGTAAATTTTGTTAAATAAAGGTGTAGAGCTTAGTAACCATCTAATGATCACATCAGGGCCTTGAGACATTTTCGTAACACTGATTCTTGAAGCCAGAACTTACCAGGCCACTTCGAAAACAGCATGGATCTTATATTTTAAAATCCTTTAAGCAGCTTTTTGTGGAGATTTTAGCAACCTATCAATGATTGGAAGCATAAAAACAATCAAGCAAATAAACAGAAAAAAGCATAAGCTCAATTATCTCTGATAGCCTGTTGTTTCTCCTTTCCTTTCCATGCACATCTTTAGCAGACACAGACATGCATTTACTCAATAAATATTAAGATGTTTGTACCAAATCATATATTTCTAAATAAAAAAGTTTAAAAGGTTTGAGGTGAAATGTTAAAACACCATACCAGCTTTCTAAAGCTCAGAATACTGTCGAAAATCTTAAAGGGACAAAATATAGGTAACTGTGATTCAGTATCTGTAAACAATCTTTAAAAAGATACATCAATTTCAGGAGTAGAGAACTCTTGATTAAAATACCCTTTAGCATTCTCTAAGCAAACTTATATGCCAGGCTAAAAGCTTCATCTACATTGTGTCAGATATCTTGAAAGCAGCACATTCTAGTTATGAGATGCATTTAAATTTCTATTTGTTTCCCAATAAAAAGTAGAGCTTTGATCATTATGATTCTGATACTCTGGGAAACATCCAGAGCATTAGGTGTTAAAATATAACTAAAATCAGAACAATAACCTCAAATAAATCAGCACTACCAAATGTGGGTTCTGTTGACTTCTTTATTCATTCTGCAGCATGCTTATCCTGCAACACACTCTCTAATGTTTGACCCTCACTTTGTGCCCACTAAGTAGAATCTGGTAGCAAATATGTCCAGTGGTGACAATATTTAAATATGGGTAATGCCTTAATGTGCCTGACACCTGTAAATGGGAAACTATTGGTAAAATTCCCTATCAAGTACTGCACAATTGGTTCTGAAATCTCTGAAGAAAATATAAAAACTGTACTTTTTTGTGAAGTTTATCTAAAGGCCAGTAACATAAGATAATTTAGTTTCCTCTATAAACTTTCATATCTCTACTAATTTACTGTAAGTAAGGAGTGAACTGTGATGCATGAGAAAGATATAACACATCTGCCTCTTCCATCTCTGAACTACATTCTTGTAAGAAATCAAAGTGCTGTTATTTTTCCTATAAATGCTGAGTCCCCCAAGCTAATGTTGGGCTTATCATTGAAAATTTGACATGCATTAAAAATATACTTACACTGGCAATGACCCCCACAAAATATTGATAAAAGCAGGCTCTTCAGGTAGCCAAAGTATACAGATAAGTCAGAGATAGCCATTATGTAGCTTATGATAAGGAGACAAAGACAAACAGAAGAGACAGACATAAAAAATTCCACAATGTTTAGACAGATGCCAAAGGAACTTACTCGCACAGTAGAATCCCGTTCTCCAAGCCTCCTCGGAAATCCTTTTCACCAAAACACCGTCCAGTCGCAGCCTACGGATTGAACAACATCAGTAAGTCACTCAGCCTTAATACTACAAGAGTTGCAAAATATATCTTTCAGGTTCAGGCTGTGAACAAATGGCTTACAACATGTTATCCTTGACTTGACTGAAACGCAGAGAATTGATTGGAAATAACCAGAAACAGAAGACAGACATATATTCAGCCTCCATGTGGTAGAAGAGTTCTAAACACTAACAAGCTTGACATAAGCTGCAATCATCCTGACCAAATGGCTGAGGAAGGCTAATGTGTTGTGACAGAGGATTTATCGGTTAATAGAGGCTCAGACCCTCTGAGAGGAAGTCTGCCAGTAAGGGCCTTCATGACAAATGATCAAAAGGCATGACTCTATTCTCGTGTGCAAACACTTGCACATGTTTATCTGCTAAAGCATGTCATTTAACAAATCACTTCATTTGGAGGATCTAATTTGAACTGTTGCAATCCTATTGCACAGTTTTACCCACAGAACATGAAGAGTTTATCAAATGTGATTGAACATTTCAAGATTAAACCTGATGTCTAACATGAACATAAACATCTTTAGCAAAAGAGTAAACAATATAATGAAAAGATGGGGCCCACTCCTAGGAATGTGCTGTCAAATGACTTCCAGGGCTATTCTCATTTAAGATCCATTTATTCTGCATGAAAAGAGAGGACCCCTTTCGGTTTGCTGGTATGGAAGCCAAAACAATTACAAGATTAAATTTCCTGAGTGCTTCTTTCACATTTATTTACACAGCTGGAAAGGCTGCAGACTAGTAGAGTATCTGCCGTGGCCAAATGTTTCTAATTTTTTTCAATTCAGCTTTTTGGCTCTCTGGGGAGTCAGGATCGGCTACAAAAGAAAAGAACGGCAGTTACTCAGTGAGAGGGGCCAACGGTAGGCCCTGAACCTCCAAGAAGCACCATGTTTATAGAAAGAGGGCGGTGCAGACTTTCACTGTGGGCTGAGATGAAGCTATCCACATCCAGCGATTGGTACAATCAAAGGACAACAGAACCAGATTAACGTTGGGGACATGAGTAAAGCTGATAGGACACCATGTACATCATGAAACCATGTGTTTACTGACCAGTCCAACAGTAGAGACACATCATTCTAAGATTTTCAAGAAGCAGATTTCCAAAAGATAATTACTGATTGCCTGTCAAAAGTATTTAATACTCACATTTTAGAGATGCCAAGAAAGGTGTTGTGTTAATTTGACAGCCTTTGGACACATGTCTACAGGTCACCAAATAAAATCCAGCTGTCCAGCTCAATATTGTGCAGAGCTGAATGGGACAAAATGACCCCCCACTTCCACAGTTATGCATGAGAGGGTTGCTCCAGCTAATAAAAGTCAGATCCATCTACTCTTCCCCAGTAGTGCTCCACAGTCCTGCTGTAAAGTATAAATATTGCAAATACCAGCAGAAAGCATCTGCACCATTATGTCTTTGGAGTAGTGGATTACCCTTTTTTAGATGCTGTTCAAAATTTGGTTTTAGTGCCATAATTATGTTTTATACAGAAATTAAGGGTGCATCAATAATTTAAAAAAGTCTCTTTTATAGATTATTGATAAACTTATATATTGTAGGTCTTTACTTCTGTAAATATTGATGATTAAAAACCTGAAGTTTTTCAGAAAATTGGATCTTCGCAAAAAAAATATTAAAAAAGACGCTTAATACAGAAAAGCATGTTTATGAAGGTTTTGGTGGAAGAAAAACATATGGCAGAAAATATAGATACTAAATAGAGACCAGTGAAGCAAAGCCCACTGAAAAACATTAGAGGAGATTCACAACATTTCTCCTGGATTCAATGCTCCAACAGTTACTACTCACAAATATGTCCAGAAAATGAGTCACAGCTGTGTTAAGCAAAATATTAAACCTAAACAATCTCATAAGCAGAAGGAAAATTATAATTTTTTTAGTTGTCCTGGCCAATGTAAACTAAATCTAAAATGTGATTGACACAGAAGAAAAAATATTTTGTACACAATAAACTGGTGATGTGAAATATCCTCTGCTTAGGGGTTCCATCAGAATAAGAACAAGACAAATTAAAAAATAACAATTGGAAATTGTATGGTACCTGAAACAATAGTCTTCATTACAGTTGTGTTCCCTTTTTGGTTTTGCTCAATAATTTGGCAAACTGGATGGAAGGCAGGGGATAACAGAGATGAAGCTAGGAGGAGAGTGATTTAGCTCTATCTGAGCACTGGCAAATAAGATAGATATTTTAAGTATGTGATGGAGCTTAATAGCACTGGCTCAGCTTAAAAGGATGATAGAAAGCTTCGCTTATTTCATCAGCTCCTTTTCTGAGCCGTGATGAGCTCTCAAGCCTATGCTGCCTTCAGGTGTTACCCTCAGTGAATTATGAAGAAAAAGAAAGTCTAATAGCTTATTGGGTCTTTCTGTCTGAGAGAGCTCTTAAGACCTTTAGGTTAAGCTTATGTAAAACCAACAACTTAAAACATAAAGAGGCTTTAAATAAAAGTTACCAGCTTTCTGGTAATAGAGAAGGTGATAAAAAGATAAAGAGGTAATAAAACACAAAGATTTGACTCTTCAGACCTTTAATTACAAAACCAAACAAATAAAGCAACGCAATGGCTCCGTAACTGTGACTGTAGCAGCAGTCATTTCAAAAATACTTTTTACACAAGGTTACAGATTAGGCTGAAAACATCTGGATCTGAACCTGGAGTGGATCAAAAGAGGATAGAGGTATGTGTAGCTTTTGTTGTTTTCAATCCACTGTCACATTGTTTAACAATTACATAATTCTGCCTGGCTTTGTCTTCCCACCTATTCACTTCCTTCCCTTTGGGAAACCTTCATGTATAGATCAAAGACCTTCTAATGAAGGAGCTATACCCCATTCGCTCTGGAATTCACCAGGAAATAAAAGCATTGCTGATTTTCAAGGAACAGCTATAATCTTTGCAGAGTGAAGCTTTCATGAAATACAGAAAGTTAACATGAGCATGCATGTGCTGCAATATATACTGTAGAGGTTATCCTCTGATATCAGTGTGTATTTAACAAAAGTTCCCTAAAAACCTTTAATTTAAAAATGCTGCAAATTTAAAAGCACATTTATTCAAAATAATATCAGTTTTCTGTTAAATGACCTCAGAGTTTATGACAGTGTCTTTGTTCACTCCATACTGTAGGTATACTCCTTTATCATTATGTTGACCATTCATCATAACTGTAATTGGAGGAGCCCAACAATTTACAGCTAACCAAACCAAGCTAACCACCAATAATTCAAGGATTTAGAAAGGCTGGGTTCCTTGACACTACTTACTTCAAGGCCCCTGAGGATAAGCCTGTTGCAGCTCTGAGAGTCGTAGGCCTACATAATGTTGAGCATTAAGAGAAGCATGGGTGGTTTCCAGCAGTTTGGTCTCCAGCAGCACGCCTGCTCTGAATCCACATGCCTGCCTTGCAGTCAAGAGCATTCTACATTACAGCACGGCAAGTTAAGTGTATTGCATAAGCAAACGAGGTGCTCACAAGTCACAGAATGCACGTAAACACGCTTCGGGACAGCAGCCAATAATCTTGTTAAGTCAACTTGGCAAGAGCTTAAAGTGTGAAAGCTTCTGGTTTTAAGGAACAAAACAAAGACAGGAGTGTCCAGCCTGGCCCCTTAGGACACAAAGCTGATGAAATGTGCAGCAGAGTGAGAAACAAACAACCCTGCTGCTTTACGTGACGTCCTGTGTTTTATCTCCAGAGATCTTCTTTCCACTGTTTTATTTCAGATCTTGTATCGCTGAGGCTTAAATGTGGTGGTTTGTATAAGTGGTCCCTCTGATGGAGCATTACAGGGGTCCCAGTCAAACCTCAAAAGTGATGCCTGCCTACAATCCATCATCTGGACCTTTTCTTAAGCTGTCAGCTCTGTCACCCTGATAGGAGTCCTTCATGATGGCAAAGAAGTATTTAATCTGGACTCAGATCTAAGGCAAATAAGTAAAAGGTGATGAAGAGGTGGTGATCCTGAACTGAACTGCCTCAGGTTTAATCCAAACCAAGGAAAATATAGAAGCACACATTCAGGGGAATAACTTTGAGGCAGTTTTGTTTTTTTACATTTACTTTGCAACAAAAGGAGCAGCAAAGGCTAAATATTTAAGAGGTATTGGTTCAAAAATGCTGAAAGAAAATGACGTCTAAAAATTGAGGCGGAGTCATTCATTTTAAGAATTAAGGATGAAAAACAAAAAAGACGTTTGTTTATGCTGGGAAGGTTAAATACTGTTAATAATAATTAATAATAATATTTTTATTTCACTCCCGCCCCATTTTAATGACTGCTGCAAAACAGAATAAGAACAATAAGTCTTAGTTGGTTTGTAACTGCTCAACAAAATCCCTGCTCTCTGTTGCACTAGCAGAGGATAAGACATTTACTGTTATTGCAAATAAATGAGATCATCCCAAAATCCTTTGATTTGGTTGTAATAAGTAGATCTATTAGCTACTGTTGCCTCTCTACTTATTTTAATTAGTCTGCCCATTCTCACAGGGGCAGAGCTAGAAGGGGGGCCAGAGGTGGCCATGACCACCCTTAGCCAATCATTGGCCACCCCTGTTGCCACCCCTACCAATTTTTTCCCTGCACTAATACAGACCGTTGCAGCAGTTATACTCTGTAGGGGAACGTTCAAACATATTAAACATTTAAATTTTTTATATATTAACAGTTACTTGACAAATAAAACACTGTGGTTATTTATGCACATCAAAATACTAACATTAAAGTTGATACATACAGATATTAGGCTCTTTTCAGAATTTTTTTTTGTGTCATATGGGGTAAAGAGAAAATGATGTGTCTCTGCAAGTCATCTACATGTCTTCAGTGAAATCATAGAGAAATAACTAGTACTTCAATAACTAATAATCAATTTAATGTAGATAATACTACACGTAAATATTAATCTTATGCAAAACAATTTTTGATAAAT